CACGTGCCCACGCCAAGGTTCTCTTTTTCTTCTTATATTTCGTGTTTTTCTTCTTGTTCTTTTATGCGTTCTTGTTGTTCTTTTCTACTTCTTTTTTTTTTTCTTCTTCTTCAATTTGCTCTCATTCATTCTTCTTTCCTCTGCCGCATTCTTCCCTAGAGCTCCGAGGAGTGGCCATATCAGTCGGCATTTCACACATGAGCGTGAATGCTGCTGCACCTGTTGATATGTCTTCCTTCGAGGTGCAGTCACTCAAGCGGACCCCAGCAGAAGGCGGGGGGAGGGGAGAGGGTCTGGTGCTTTTAGCCCCTTCGTTGTATTGCGTATATGTAGTATTTCAGCCCCCCCTCTTTCTCTCTCTCTCTCTCTCTCTCTCTCTCTCTCTCTCTCTCTCTCTCTCTCTCTCTCTCTCTCTCTCTCTCTCTCTCTCTCCTCCCTCCCTCCCTCCCTCCCTCTCTATTGGTAGCGGAGAAGAGGATCCACGTAGGTTCTCAAGAGCAGGAGCAGCAATGGTTCCTCCATTCATTAGGAAATAGGCGGCATCAGGAGATAGAGAGTGGCGACCAAGCAGGTGATTTTGTAAAGCGCCAAACGGCCTTAAGAGAGCTTTGGATAAAGCATATCCGAGCGCTCTGAGCTGGAACTCGACTTCCAGATTAAATCGGGAAAATTAACCCGCCCTGTGTCGGGTCAGGAATGCTGTCTGCTTGGCCACTTTACACGGATTTGCTGAATGGTTTGTAGGACAAAGGTAACCTCGCGTGTTCTGAGATAAACAGTACATTTTGAATCATGACATACAAAGGTTGTAAAGCATTTTATAGCGAGTACACGGATCATAATATAACGTACAGTGATCGCGAAATGGTAGTAGTGGAATTCACAGAGCCAGAAAAATATGAGCTTCACGGGCGTCTGACTTTCCATTCTGAATACACTGAATGTACATATATACATAGTAACTTGTTACAACTCCACCCTGTCTCTCATCTTCCATCCTATCCATTACTTTGCTCCCCTTCCTTTCTTCCTCCCTCCCTCTCTCCTTTCCTCCCACCACTCATCCATCCACTCCCAAACCTATGTAGTTGTAGTTTCTCGAAAGCACAAAGACAAGCAGTTGCAAGCTACCCCTCAACAGCCAACCCGCTCTCGTGCCTTTTGAAGCAAAAAGTGAAACCAGTTCCAGTAGACGGACGGCGGCGTGAGGCCTTGTACACCTTCCAGCCACGTAATATATGAAAGTACTCTCTGGGCGAAAGTAAGTGCTAGTGACTTACCCGTTTCGCTGTTCCCCTTACTCTCGCTTTTGTTCCCTCATCGCCGCCGCCGCCGTCGTCGTCACCGCCTCGCTCTCACTCATCTCGCGCTGGGGACTCCCTCTTCCCCCTCCCTTCATACCGAGTCTCGCTTTTGCACTTTCACTGGCGAACTTTCTCTCTTTCTCTCCCCCCCCCTCCTTCCGTCCATTTTGTTTTCGTTACCTACCCTCACTCTCTCTCTCTCTCTCTCTCTCTCTCTCTCTCTCTCTCTCTCTCTCTCTCTCTCTCTCTCTCTCTCTCTCTCTCTCTCTCTCTCTCTCTCTCTCGCATTCGCACTCCTATTTTTATTTTGCGAATGAATACAAACACGCAAACTCCGTTAGACCTGTGATTACGCACTGAAGAGAATAACAAATGGAAATGATACTTTTTTGTGATTCGAGGCAGATGATACTAAACAAGATCCCTGGTTGGAATACACACGTAAGTTGTCTCCTCTCTCTCTCTCTCTCTCTCTCTCTCTCTCTCTCTCTCTCTCTCTCTCTCTCTCTCTCTCTCTCTCTCTCTCGCTCTCGCTCTCGCTCTCGCTCTCGCTCTCGCTCTCGCTCTCGCTCTCGCTCTCGCTCTCGCTCTCGCTCTCTCGTCTCCTCTCTTTCCCTTTTTGTTCCTGTTCACCCCTCAAGCAATTTACTCACCCCCGTTTTGGAGATGATTGAGAGAAAACGTTAATGTATAATGGTCTTAAAGGGTCAGCCGGTGTGCGTTGCTTGAAGGTGTAGAACGTTGAAAGTGTCGAGCGATTTGCATGATGGAGATCTTGCAGGGAGGGGAGGGGGGGTATGTAAAATGTCTATAGAGGAGGTGATTTCTTTGATTTTTTTTTTTTCGATTCCTCAAGTATTCGAAAAAATGGGTAAGATGCTTAGCAACATCGCCTCCCCTCTTCGTCGAAGCGAATCAGTCGATGTCGGAAAGATTTTTTTTAGCGCTGGGTTTTGAATCGGTCTAACCTTTCCAGCGTATAAAGGCTGACCTCCCAATATACCACGTTTGATTGGCAGAAATTGTACGCTGCTCTCGCCCTGATTGGCCTGTGATGTAAAGGGCGGAGTCTTCCAGATTGTTACATTTGT